GTTGGCTCTGCTTTTTTCACCACTCCACACAAAATTAGTGTGACCACCTCTGGCTACCATCATCATTTGGGGTTTGAAACCCACTCTATGTACAAGCTAATGATGATAACATTATAAGACAACGTTTTTCTGACATTATTCTGAGGTCAAATTGGGCTCTGCTTTTAATCACTCCTAATATCGGGTGACCCCACTGGCTGCAGAGTCAAGGCAGTGTCCCATCCTGTGTGAAAAACATAATATCTCAGTACCTAGCTATTCATGGTAGGTATATGTTCAGCAAATGACTTGGAGACCAATGGTCAAGGAGCCTGAACGGCAGGCAAAGTTGTCCCAGAGTGCCACATGGTGGCAACAACTATTGGCTAACCCCATGTGGTCAGAGGGCCAGCCAGGGAAACTGTTGCGGTTTACATAGTGACTGTCCCTTTCCCTGCAGTGTTACCAGAGTTTTTGCATTGTTGTCAAGATGGAAAGCCCAGACAAACTGCCTGATAAGGAAGTGTGCCACATATGGCACACATTAATTCTATAGTCTTGTAGGGTTACATGTGGTGACTGAGGTTGAAGGTCATATTATACAGAAGGGGGAAATGCACAATTTAGGTGCTACAGTATCTTGTGATAGTTGGAGTGGAACGTACATTATTCTGGAGGTAATAATTGGCTTTCGCCTTTCCTACCAGCTCCACAACAATCACCAGTGTGACGACCTCTCGCGCTGCTAGCATCACTGCTGAGGTCACCATCCTGGTGTGATACAGAACACATCTTGTACATTCAGTAATGCAAGTTTTCATACATTATTCTGAAGGTCCAAGTTGGCTCCTGCTTTCACCAGCTCTCACAACAATGTCAGTAAGACCACCTCTGGCTGCCATCATTAGTGCTGAGCTCCCATACTGATAAAGACATGTGATGACAACTATAAAGTAATTAACAGTTTCATACATTAGACTGTAGGTCCAAGTTGGCTCCTGCTTTCACCAGCTCCACAACAACATTAGTGTGACCATGGCCAGCTGCTAGCAAGTCACTGCTGAGTCACCAGCCTGTGGTGATAAAAGGACATGCCAGTAGCAGTGACTGTTTGCTTGTGTTTGCCCATGAGTATACAAGTGGAAAATCATTTCTGTGAAATGAAAGGGGTGGTAGTGCGCTGTCCGGCAAAGCAAGGTAGAATGCCCCAGACAGATTGAGCTCCCAGCCAGATTGATTTCTTTCTACCTTGTTTCTCTCCTCTCACTCACACACTCAGCACACATTCCTTTCAGCCTATCAAACATGAGATCGGGAGCGAGATGTGCAGATCTGAAGTACATGCCAGTGCTTACGTGCTAACTTTTTCCCTATGAACGTAATGAGAAAATTAATGTACAAACCATGGACCCAAAAGGAATTGCATACTGTGTAAGTGTACTGGGAAATACACATGCGGAGAAAGCCAGCACTAATTATTATTTGTTCTACCTCTCTTACAACATATGGAGATGGGTCAGCGTTAGCTGAAAACTTCACTGCAGCGATGTCAGGGCTTACTGCTAAAAACACACATAACTGTATCACTTGCACTTGCATGCCCAAGTCACTAAGCCTTCGACAAATTGTCACACACAGTAGCTTACTACCTACCAAAACTGTATAAATGCTACACATTCAAATGCTCGCAAATTTCATTTTGAAGGCTTCCAAAACTAACTCTCGATCAGTGTCCAACGTATGTTTGGTATTTCATCACAAAACCCCCTTCTAACAGTAAGTACACATCTACATACCAGGTATATCTGAGGTCTCTGTAGGAGGGAGAGTTTGTTGCCATCCACAGTCACCTCTGATAGATGGTGGTGGTCATGAAGTGGGGGGTCAGAGTGCCAGCACCCAGCCCACCACACTGGGAGGAAACCTCACCACCACCTCCACACACTTGTTGGCCATCCCACTGATGTAAACGCATGTGAGGACAGAGACCTGAATTTGCAATGATTGCTTCGTTGAGCTTTCGAACATCATGCAGTGTACACTGCGACGCAGGCTTGTCAATCTTCACGACCATTTCAGAGAATGCTTTCTTCTGGTCTTCTGTCACCTCGTTTGCCATCCACAGTCCACCTCTGATAGACGGTGTGCTGTCATGAGTGGGGGGTCAGAGCTGCCAGCACACTCAGCCCACCACACGGGAGGAACCTCACACACCACCTCCACACCCTTGGTGGCCACTCCACTGATGTACACGTGACGGACAGAGACCAGAATTTGGCAACGATGCTCGTTGAGGCTTCGAACACAGGCCAGTGTACCCTGCGACGCAGCTTGTCAATCTCACGACAATTTCAGAGAATGCTTTCTTTGGTCTTCTGTCACCTCATCTGGAACAGTGCTGATGTACACGTCGACTGATGTAGAGGTTCAAACACCTCAACATCTTGCAGTAGTCCTGCATGCTGGTCTGCAGTGGAGGGCCACAGAACTTGAGGACTATGTCACGCAGAATCCGTAGTTGCGGTAATCGATGTAGCGACAGAGAATGGCGGAGAGAATTGCCCGAGCATCTTTGGCACCGAGGAATTTCTGCTCACATTCACGGAAGAACTTGACATGAGGTGCCTTCTTGGCAGCCGGAAGAGTTGAAGGTATTTGCGAAACTTTCTGAGAAATTTGCTTGTCTCGAGCCTCTTCTCACGATTTTCTTCTCCTCGGCGTCAGTATTGAGGTACAAGGAACTTTGCCTCCGGCTCCTGAATGGTGCCTTGACTATCAGGACTACAAGAATGAGTGGGTGGGAAGGGTTGTGTGAGAGCGCGGTGGACGGAGGTCGGACGGACGGTGAACGGAGGATGTGGTGGTGGATGATGGGGCAGGAGACTCCTCAGAACTAATGGCTGGTGTGGTGCCTCTGACGACGCAGGAACAGTGTAGACGGATGGACGAGCGGAAGGGCTGGCTGGATGGGAGATTGTAGTGTGCTGTATGTTTGGTCGACGTGGGCGTTTCAGTTCTCGACTAGTTCTGCGTAGGCTCGGGTCGGTGGAGAAAATAGATACGAGCTCAGCAAACCAGTGGTTCTTCCTGTCCGACGTTCGGATTACAGCGAAAACCCCGTCAATAAGCTGACCCGCCTTGTTCGCGGGCGTGGCTCCGCCGCCGAGGATTGCCTGCGCGGCCCTCTGGGTAATGAAGGCTTTCTCCACGAGGCAGTTTGAAAACCACTGTAGATTGTCTCCGACCGTCACTGTGTCAGTGAGGGAGGTAAGATTGGTACGAAGCGCAGTGATCTCCGGGGGCTCGCCGTAGTCGGCCATCTTTCAAGGGGGCGGGTCTCGTACACGAGCATGTTAATAGCCACGCCTAATCGGACTTTGACCTGATCGCACACTAGACTCTGCATGGCGTATCCAGAGCACTTTCGAGGTTGGCTGCTGAAGTGGACCAACTATATCAAGGGCTACCAGAAGAGATGGTTCGTCCTCTCCAATGGACTCCTCTCCTACTACAGGTGGGAGTCACACACACACACGAAGCTTTCTGGATGCAGTAACAACCCTACTTGTAGCCTTTTGGGCTGATATTCACTGTAAATTAGACAGCTCCAATGTAAATGTATTCTCTGTGTTTATCACTAAGTACGGTAGTACTTAGTATATAGGGATGACACAGGTTGTCCTGCATTATGCCCATACATTGGGATTTTCATGTTTCACTTTATATTGGGTATGTGAAAATAATGTCATATACTTGTGGCACATGCTTTGCCTCAGTTGCCTTTAACGCCATTTTCCTGCACAGATTCTCATTGCAAAAAAAGCAAAATGCAGGTAAGATCTGCTGGCCAGTAATGCATACACTCAATGTAATGATTAATGATGTGCAGGTGTACTATCTCCGTGCTAGTAGTGAGGTGGAGAGACGGAGATGGGTGACTGCTCTCACACTCGCCAAAGCCAAGGCCGTCCAAGACCTGGAATCTGGTATATTATTCAACACTCACCAACTAGCCACATACATGCAGTCAACACCTTGGCATAATGCAATTGATGATGAAGAAAGTGTGTAGGTCCATCGATATCGGCAAGTGGTTTGATCTGAACACATTTTTGGGGAGAAAATTGCCAGGAATGTTCCTTGAAGCTCGAAATAAAATGCACAACTAATGTCTCCACCGTTGCTGTGATCATTCATTTGTACCTTTATGTCATGCTGTTAAAGCAAGAGTGTGTGCCCTCTTCTTGCTGCAGAGAGTGATGGGGAGGGGGAGATGGTGGTGGTGAGAGAGGCGGGAGGAGGAGAGGGAGGGAGAGACGAGGGGATGACACAGCTGAGGAAGAAGATGAAGGAACTGAGTTCAGCCCATGATGTAATCGTCAGGAACAGGTGATTCAAATTGCTACTTTTCTCTCCCTCAAATGCAGGGGAAGTTTCCAAAATTTAATGGGAGCCTAGAATACCACACAAGCAGGAAGTTTAAAGTGGTTGGGGATTCTGTGTTCATTTAAAAGTTCCAGTAATTTTGATGCAGTTTCTTTAACCTGACTTCAAATGGATTTTTGTCTCACAGTACAAGAGAGAGCCAGAGACAGCAGTGTGGGTGGTGAGGAGGGGGACTCACAGACAGACAGGGACCTTCAGACTAGCCAGATATGCTCTGGACGAGATGCAGGTAGCTGCTTGTTGTGTATTGTGCATTTTAGTTATGATAGTTTGTGTACCTAGGATTGCGTAATTGAGGTATGAGTCATCCTACGTCAATCATTGTCATGTGTGAGTATATAAGGCATGCTGATTGTACACTAGCTAGAGGATTGACCGATCTTGTACCGAGCTCAATAAAGAGATTATTATTTTGCTAATACTCTCGGCCTCTCGTGCGTGCTGCCCGATCGTGAAGGACACGACATTACAATTGGCGACGAGAACCAATGGCTACAGATCCGTCCGTCGGAGGAGAAGCTGCAGCACCTCCACCTGCCGCTGCACCGACGCCAGCAGTCTCCCTACTCGGAGTCATCGGTCCGTTCGACCCCACTCAGGAGGAATGGCGAGAATACGCGGAGAGATTGGTCCACTACTTCGTCGCGAACGACATAGCGTCCGAAGGGAAACAGCGTGCGATTCTGCTCACCGCCGTGGGACCCGGAACCTACCGCCTCCTGAAGACTCTAGCGTCCCCGAAGAAGCTGGACGAACTGACAGTCACCCAGCTAGTTGACTTGGCGTCCAAGCACTACAACCCGAAGCCGTCTCCCATCGTCAAACGTTTCGAGTTCAACTGCCGCTCACAGTAGGAAGGAGAGACAATAGCAGTGTACGTTGCAGAACTGCGCAAGATTGCGGAACATTGTGATTATGGGGAAGTGCTGAGCGACATGCTGCGGGACAGACTGGTCTGCGGAACGAACAACAAGGCAATTCAGAGGAGGCTATTGGTAAAGGCCGACCTTACGTTCGCAGACGCCATGGATATGGCCCTGGCAGCTGAGGTTGCAGAGAGAGATTCCCTACGCCTCACTGGCGCGTTCGCAGATAAGAATCGCGCCACTCCCGTGCAAACACCGCCCGCTCCCCAGACGCCTGTCTACAGAATGGACCAGCGTAAACAACGGTACAGTGCCCCAAAACCAAGCCCTTGTCCACCTGGCAACACAAGTTGCTACAGGTGTGGTGGGAACCACAACCCCAACACCTGCCCTTGTAAGGAGTTCGTGTGCCACTTTTGCAAAAAGAAGGGTCACCTAGCCAAGGTCTGTCGAAAAAGGGAGAAGAGCACTCCGGAGCAGGCTCACTCGGTGAACGATCAACAGATAGTTCCACAGGACTTCCCAGAGGAGTACCTAATGCATCATGTTAGCGCAGGTCCGACTAGACCCTACCATGTATACGTCACGTTGAACGGTAGTCCTGTGAGGATGGAGATTGACACAGGAGCGTCCGTCTCAGTGGTTGGGGAGGGGATCTTCAAGGCAATCCAGAGGGGAGAGCAGCCCCTGGAGCTTCAGAAGACCTCAATCAGGTTACGAACATACACTGGAGGCGAGATTCCTGTGCGAGGTTCTGTTCGTGTGCCGGTGGAGCACAATGGCCAGAATCAGTCATTGCCACTGATCGTAACCGAGGGAGAGGGACCTTCTTTCATCGGCCGTGACTGGTTGTCTACCTTGCGCCTCGACTGGCAGGTGATACTCACAGTCGAACAGAACTTGTCCCTGAAACAAGTACTCGACAAACACAGCAGTGTCTTCAAAGAGGGACTCGGCAAGCTCCGAGATGTCGAAGCCAAGATCTACATCGCACAGAACGAACGTCCACGATTCCGTAAGCCGTATCAAGTCTCCTTTGCACTGCGTCAGAAGGTCGAGGAGGAGCTGGAGCGTCTTCAAGCGCTGGATGTGATCCAGCCAGTGCAGTTCTCGGACTGGGCGGCGCCTATCGTCCCAATCATGAAGAGTGATGGCCGTGTGAGAATTTGTGGGGACTACGAAGTCACTGTTAACCAGGCAGCGAAGTTAGAGAAGTACCCTCTACCCCACATTGAGGAGCTGTTTGCATCTCTAGCTGGTGGAAAGCTCTTCACCACGCTAGACCTCTCACACGCCTACCTCCAAGTTCCACTCGACAAACACTCTCGTCATTTCGTCACTGTCAACACTCACAAGGGTCTCTTTGAGTATAAGAGACTCCCGTTTGGTGTTGCCATCGATATTTCAGCGCGTCATGGAGAACCTACTTCAAGGAATTCAAGGAGTCTGTGTATACATAGACGATATCCTCATAACTGGTTCATCCGAGTCGGAACACCTCCGTAACCTTGCCGAAGTCTTGTCGAGGTTAGAGTCCGCAGGAATGCGGCTCAAGAAGGAAAAATGTGCTTTCCTTCTCCCGTCTGTGTCGTACCTGGGACATGTAATCAGCGCAGAAGGCCTCAAGACTGCACAGTCCAAAGTCCAGGCAATCGTTGATGCACCCGAGCCACAGAACGTCGGCGAACTGCGGTCCTTTCTCGGCATGGTTACTTACTACGGAAAGTTTTTGCCGGATCTAGCCACGACACTGGCACCACTCTACCAGTTATTGAGGAAGTCAGCACACTGGGGATGGAGAGGAGCACAGAGGAAAGCCTTCCAGCAAATCAAAACCTTGCTACAGTCAGGCAGAGACCTCACCCACTTCGATGATAGGTTACTCCTCATCCTCGCCTGCGATGCTTCGCCCTACGGTTTGGGAGCCGTGTTGTCCCACCGAATGCCGAATGGGGAAGAGAAGCCTGTCGGGTTCGCCTCCCGCACTCTGTCCAAAGCCGAGAAGAATTATTCCCATCTGGATAAAGAAGCATTGGCCATCATCTATGGGGTGAAGAAGTTTTACCAGTACCTGCACGGTCGCAGATTCGAGATAAAGACAGACCACAAGCCGTTAACCCACATCTTTAACGAATCTCGTGCAACCCCAACAATGGCGTCTGGACGCATCCAGGTGGGCCCTCACTCTTGGTGCCTACGACTACACGATCCAGTATAAGGAGGGGAAGAACATGGCGAACGCAGATGCCCTCAGTCGTTTGCCCCTCAACGCATCACCAGTGGAAGTCCCGAGACTTCCTGAGCTAGTACATCTGGTGGAACATCTGGAGTCCACGCCACTCTCCTGTGAAAAGATCAAACTCTGGACCGACCACGATACAGCCCTATCGAGGATCAGAACGTGGGTGCTGGAGGGATGGCCTGACAAGGGGTCTACTGATGACGACCCGGGCCTCCAGCCGTACTTCAGGAGAAAGAATGAACTAAGCTCGGAGGGGGGATGTGTGTTGTGGGGGAACAGGGTGGTCGTACCGGTGAAGGGAAGGAAACACGCGCTCAACATGCTACACGAAACACACCCAGGAATTGTCCGTATGAAGGCACTCGCCCGTGCATACTTGTGGTGGCCTGGCATGGACAGGGACATTGAACAGTGTGTGAAGCTCTGCAACGAATGCCAGTCCTTACGCAAAATGCCACCGGCAGCTCCACCACAACCATGGGTGAGACCAAGTCGTCCGTGGTCACGAGTGCATATTGACTATGCAGGTCCCTTTCGGGGGAAAATGTTTCTACTCGCCATCGACGCACACTCGAAGTGGCTAGAGATTCATGCCACCAACACGTCCACGTCTACCGCAACGATAGAACTGTTACGCAAAACCTTTGCAAGTTTAGGATTGCCCGAAGTAATCGTCTCCGACAATGCGACAACGTTCACGAGCGAAGAGTTCACAGAGTTCCTGAAACAGAATGGAATCCGTCATGTGAGATCTGCGCCGTATCATCCTGCCTCCAACGGTCTCGTTGAGAGGGCTGTTCAAACATTCAAGGACAGCATGAAACGTCTCACGTCAGGATCTCTGGAAACTCGGCTCTCACGGTTCTTATTCCGATATCGCATTACGCCACACACATCAACCGGGACATCTCCCTCAGAATTGATGTGGGGAAAAAGACTTCGTTCACCACTCGATTTGCTCATGCCGTCAAAGTCTCCCAGTAGCGACGAGCTTCCGCGCCCACTGGAGAAGTCCCCAGCATTGACACGCCAGTTCTACGTTAACGATCGAGTTTACGCCAGGAGCTACAGTTCTGGGCCGCGATGGCTACCTGGGGTTGTGGTCAAGATCAAGGGACCGCCATGTACGAAGTTCGCTTGATTGACGACCGAGTAGTGGTTCGTCATCTGGATCAACTACGTTCAAGAGCAACAATGGAAACCGATGTGGTCCCATCAGACGTGAGGGATGAGCCGATTGTTGACGACGGAAGTGTCGAGCGTAGAGACCTGCCTCAGGAACCGGAAACCGCCGTTGGCGATGGTGAAAGAGAGTCGCCATCCACCCCACCATTGGCAGTGCCCGACAATGCACAAAGGACACCCTCAGTGGATCCGTCAGTAGAGCGACAGGAGACTCCACGAGACGAAGCTTCAAGTGAACTCAGGAGATCCACTAGGGTCCGACAACTACCTCACAGGTTTGAAGAACAGTCTTTTGACAGTTGTTGAATTTATTTTTGGTATTTTGAGTTGGTTGTAGTCACCTTTTTCTTTGGTTTGTTTGTAACTAAGGGGGGAGGATTGTTGTGTATTGTGCATTTTAGTTATGATAGTTTGTGTACCTAGGATTGCGTAATTCAGGTATGAGTTATCCTACGTCATTCATTGTCATGTGTGAGTATATAAGGCATGCTGATTGTACACTAGCTAGAGGATTGACCGATCTTGTACCGAGCTCAATAAAGAGATTATTATTTTGCTAATACTCTCGGCCTCTCGTGCGTGCTGCCCGATCGTGAAGGACACGACATTACA